CTTGCTGTCTGCCTGATTCCGGAGTGCATTTCATTATTTTCTCCTCGGCGCTCGGGAAACGAGCGGGAACAGATAAAGGGCAGATGAAGTTCACAGGAAATTACGAAGGATGGACAGCCGCGTCCGAATGTCTCAGGAGTTTCGTGGTCAGGGGCGAACTGGCCATCTGGCAGCTCTGGCAAGATGCCAGAAGGGCCGACGGACCGGTCCTCATGTACCTTATTAGTCTTATGCAACGAAATTTACAAGTGAACATGAAGTATATTGGGAATAGGCCCAACTGTGAAACAACAACATTATCAGGCATTTCTAGTAGGCCTACTTACATTTCCAGCGAAATCTCCGCATCGATAGGGCTATTCCCAGTCGGGCTGGCGATGCGCCCCTGGCCCGGGGCTCTTGCTAATTCTGCGTAGTATAAATCATTCCCTACTTTAGAAAAAAAAATCAATTTCTGCTTAACAAAAGAACTGATGGATGAAATCGGTGAAATGAGCTAACAAAGGAAGATGGGAGATTAAACAAGGGGCTACAAGTAGGACCTCATCAGACAGGGCAAAGGAGATGGAATGGCAGGTCAGGGTTGCCAAGCGGGTCAAGTCGAGCTCAGATGACCCCTTTTGATTTTTTTTTGGATTCACATGTATCTCTTCCTTGTCAACCGTGTGGCACAACATCGTTTCCATGCATTCCTGCTTGCTTAAGATACCTCACGATCATTCCTTACGTTTTCCCTTAATTGTTTCATTGCAATGATAATGTGTAAGGAAATTGCAACTTCTGCATATATATATGACAACCCTGTCCTTCCACGAATGTCTTTCCCCCCCCCCCCCGCCATCTACACTATACGCAACGACCTGCAGATGTCTGTAAGTTATGGCCGGAATTGGTCCAGTGAACTCCTTCCAGGTGTCTCAACTGATTTTCATCATCAATAGCTCATTCGATTCGTATTTTTTTTGTAGATATGCAAATTCTTATTTTTCAGTTGACCTTAGACGTGACCCAGTTGACCTTTCATATTAATTTTGAACCCAAATTCTTGTGTAATGCATCATTCGAAAGCACTCGATTTCCCCTGTTAGAATTTGTTTTAGCGCTGTAAAAATGTTGACATCTGACCCTCCTGCGGTCAGAGTTGAGAGTGTACTGGCGCCATCTCTGTACAGTCTAGATACCTGCTTTGTACAGAGCCAGTTTTCAACTCTTAACTTGAGATCGAAGCTCAGATTTCTTCTCGGTTGTACTGAGAAGTGTTCGTCATTCTCATCACCCGTGATTCTCTCCTTACTTGTAATTTTTTCATCCCCACCCTTTGTTCTTTCATCAAAAGCGACTTTCGTCCTGCGCACGACGAGATCTAATTTTCACTTCCGAGGGACTCTCGCCCAGTCTCGGCCAATACATAGGGCATGAGCAGGGCCTGGGGGAGTGTTCCCAAGCGACCATGATTCTTTTTAATCGAGAAACACATTTTCTCTAGCAATCGCCATTCAGTGGTCAAAGTCGGTAACAGTCTATACACCTCGTGTGTACATGGGTTTTCGACAGTAAACTATAATATACTCAAACATCGAGAGGCCATGAAACATAAAGAAACACGAATAAACACGAAGTTCGGAAACGGATCGACAGCGTGAGCACTGCGTCATACGAAGGAGCAAAACAGTCTGACTCATCTGCATCCATTCGCGACGGCGGGAATGTTTACAGAAGCCGTCGTTGTTGCTCGAGAAGCTGTCGTCCTCGCTGCACTCGGGACCGGCTTGTGCCTCGCAGCCAGTCAGACGCCCGCCGGGTCGGAGCGTTTTCTCCCTTCGTTCGGTTGCATGCGTACGGTAAGGTGTGAATCGGATACTGTTTTGGTTTCTTAGTCGTTTCCTTTCAGCCTTTCGGGACGTCCCCACGCCGGCTGCTTCTTCAGTTGCACTCTCTCTATATATACTTGAGACAAGTGGCGTATCTTACAGGGTGTGAGTGGGGGGGCGCACCCCAGGGACAGAGCTCGGCGCTCACTCGAAGATAATGTTTTTATCCCCTGATATCGCTCGAGTGGGGTTTGACGCCCCCGCTCTGCAGCCCTGGCTCCCCTGACTCTTCCGCCAAAATATGCCTCAACTTGAGACCAACAAACGAGTTTTCGTTGATTCGTTAAATTGTGACCATGGTCGCGGATCCTGAATCATGGCCGTCACTTTTCCTGCATCATGGAGTTCAGTCTTTAAATTGCGTACGAGTGTCCCGGAAAAAAGGAACAGGTGAACGCCCAGCTCAGGATTCACACGACGTTCACCTGGTTTTGTGCGACATCTCGTGGAAGCCGCGAAAATCTGCGGATGCCATACCTTCCACACAGAGGGAGAATTCACGGAGGATTAATAATTTTCAGCATGGCGCTGCCTACGCCTGGTCGGACAACGTCATTTTTTATTGCGTGGATTCGGTGGTTTACGCAGGTCTTTCCCCGGTTCCCCCTCCATGAATTGGGCTCAAGCTTCGGCTTAAGTTAATTTAATTACGTTAACGTTCTAAATCAAGGGAGCAGCTGCAGGAATAGGCTGTGGGACTAGGAATGAGACCAGAACTCATCTTACATTTGGAAAAAGAACAATAGTAACCTTAGATAAGCTAAAAGTGTAAGTTTTAGGGGTTCCAAGAGATATTTCGGCCCGTGCTGAAATCCCAAGTCGAAGTCGAAAGCTCATCCTAATCCCTATGTCCAATCCGAGATAGGCCTACATGCCTACTTTAAAGTTAAATGTTTTTGGTGGGAATGTTAGTTATCTCATGAATTACTTCCAGCTATATTGGATATTTTTTTATTTTTTATATGACCAAAAACGCATGAAACCGTTTCGAAGCTATTCTTGGAAAGGGAAGCCTCCACATCTTCACCTATTTCATTCCATCGATTTGCAACCCAACAAATACAACAATCAGCAACTTGAGTGGAGGCTTAAGGTTTGAGATGCAACTTGAACTGGCTCCCTGTTATTTTGTAGGAAAAACCCTCTATGCTTCATGCCCTCCAATCTCTTGATTTAATTTACCTGGATAAGATCACAAGAATAGGCCTATCCTAAAGTTATCTTTGAAGTGATTGCAGAGGTGTGAATCAAGCTTAATTTTGAAGCCCAATATCTTCCAGATTAATGATGAAGGCTCTGTTTAGGCTGTTGCCTATGTTGACCTATTGTGATGGAGCTTTCCCTGAAGATGGACTCACACCTGGGATCTTCCCCACCAGAATATAGGCATGGATGGCAAGGTGGCCAGTATGTGCTATCTGAAAGACTGTACAAAACCAAGAAATGCATTTCCTGGAGTGACAACAGAGAGAAAAATTTGTCATCTCTGTTGTAGCTGAACTAAATTGCATTTATATTTGCATTTATGATTCCACATTCTTGTCAGATGAAAGGCTCAATGTTAGGCTGAAATTTAAAAAATGGGAGAAATGATGTTTGACCAGCAGTCAAAATATCTGAATGAAGATGAAGATGAGATGTCCAGATCATTTTCTTCTGTCTCAACTGCATCTCCACAAAATACTCCCGATTCCAAGTAAGTATATCTTCTTCAGTTCAGTAATTAGACATGTGACACCTCTAGTGATCAGGCTGAACAGCAGTCATAATTTGCTGATTGATTTATAATTAGGCCATTGACCATTTGCTTGTGAATTCAGTTTTTACTTTCCTAGATGTAGTTGACATTTTCAGATTGACTGAATGACTAGGTTCATTGGGTTCATGGAAAATTTCATTTGTTCATAAAGTCAATTCAAGAAGTACAAAGTGAAACCAAGCTTCATTATATCCATCTGAATTTATTGTATTAATCCTTACAGTGCCACATTTTCTACATTTGGCAGTGTCTGCAGGATCAAGCTTTTTTCATTGTTGCAGAACTCAAATTTTTACTAGCTGTAAGCACACAATGCATTTCAATTAGTGTTTACTTAAAGTATACTAATTTTGAAATTTGAGGATGAGTAGGGCTGTGATCACTGAAGCTAAGAATGTGTCACCATACATGCATTGCCTTCGCTAAACAGGTTGAAGTATGTTAAATTTATATCCATTTCCAAGGAAATGTGAGGTGTTCATTATACATTTCCTTTGCAGTTCAACTTAGCTCCCTCCCAATTCAAATTAAGGTAAAAAATACTGTCCACTTGAACAGATGAATTATCAATTTGAAAATATGTGAAGCAAAGAAGTACTGATATGTTCACTGGCTGTAGTAGTGATTATTGTCTAATTTCATCTGCTTCAAAGTGATTATGATTAGTTCCAATGCCTGAATTTTCACATGCTCAGAAATGTCTGAACATGAATTCAGCTATTCTAAGGTGCCTATGAAGTAAGGTCATGTACAGTGAATTAAACACTAAAACTAAATGTAAATGTTATATTTTATTATTCATTTATATATATTATTCAGTGCCAGTCAGCCTGAGATGGTAGCATTAAAGCATATACCATGACTCTTCTGGGTGCAAGACATGGACAATTCTATGATCTTTGATTTAAATAATGTAATGAAAACCTGCATTCCTATGTAAACTAAGAAAACTATCTGGACAAAGTAGTTTATTAGGACTTAATCTTCACTGATTCCTTAGAGTCACACATGTGAGCATTTCTACTGATTGCATGAAGGCAATAGCTTCACAGAAAGGTGAATTGAAAACCTGAGGTAGTGTCCTCACACTTGAAGCACATTATGTCCTGATACAGGATTGAAACAGTCAGGAGGCACCGGTGTCATCGTTCCTCATGATATTGAGGACCTACCTTATCATGAACTGTCATATCCCAAATACACAGATAAGTGTTATAGAGAAAAAATACCACCAAGGATTTGATAACATGTGGATGGAGAGCTGAGCCTCGGCCTCAGTCAATGTCAGGAGCCTGGTTGCCATAGCAGAGAGATAAAGAGGCTAGAGTATCTTTGACAAATAGTAGGCCTAGTCCCTGCAGCCTTAGAGAATGGAGCGAACTCAGAGCAACCCTGATCTCCCTTCGAGTTCTGAAATTCAAATGGAAATTCATATGGAGACTCGTTATTGGAATCCAAAAATGGTATCTGGCTTAAAGCGGTTGAAGAAACAGTTGAAGATGTGGGTGCTTGCAGTGCTTTGGTTTATCTTGTTATTCCTTTTTTTTTTTCATTGCTCAATTTTTTTTTTTTACAGAAAAAAGGCAAAACGTGCTTCGGTAGCTGTTGATGCTCCTGATGGACCTGCACGTGATCTCAGCCCAAGTGTGAGGGCTCATTCAGTTGAAGTTGATGATGATGATGAGGATGATCTCCAGTAAGTTGCATTCATTTTTATTGCTTAAATAAGATATAGCACTTTCAGAAATACACAATAGAGAAATTTATTGATGAGGTAATTTTCACTTATCCTGAAAGTGATGTCAGAGAGTATGTGGCTGATTATTGCTGATTGAGAAGGGGTCCTTTTGAGAGAAGTGCTGGTGTCAGGTTTCCTTTTTCCTTTTTCAGACTGAGCTCAAGGTTAAGTATTTCTGTTATTGCCCAGCCCAATGGCATCACAAGTATTCCAACCAAAGTGACCTCTATGATATCACTTTAAGAAAGAGATGAAATGTTGTGTAACCTCTGATGGAAATAGTCATGTGTCATGGACTTTTGTTGTTTCAGCTAGCCTAAGAGAATGATCAGTAGTCCTTCATATGAAGCAGACATGCCATTTTAACCACTTCACTATAGTTGAGGATGAAGTTTACTCATGATTGCAAGTATTCAACTCTGCCTTTGAGGACACCTTGTCATCACACCAAAAAGTCTTGATGTTATTCTCAATACTCACAAGTTGTCACTCATGTTAGACGTTAGAAAGCCTTGCATGAGTGCCGAGATAGAGTTACCATGTTTTCCCATTACACTAAATAATATTGTTATTAAATGCTTATAATAGGAAACCAGGTGCAAGGGCTGTTGTAAGACAAATTAAAAACTTCTAGGTATTGGAAACAAGCTGCAAGAAAGCCTAAAGACATATCAGAAGTGAGTTACAATGTGAGCAGTACTATAGTAGCCAGCTGAAGCTTATAAAATGGAAATCAGGGTTTTTTGAGGTATGAATCCTTGTGAAAACTTAAGTAGTGATAGGGTTAATGGTTTTCATTCCACTAGTATCAGAATGTGTAGATTATAATGTTGTCCATGGTCTCTCTCAAGGATCCCCTTCTCTCCTTATCCATCTTAAGAATGACTTTATTTTTGCAAATAAGTGAGTCCGAAAAGTCTGTGAGTTCCAAATAGGAGAATAAGTCCAAAATAAGTGAGTGACTTGAGGATTGTATTTTTTTTTTTTCTTCCACATAGACATGATGGTTGGCAGACACCACCTGCTGGGTATCCTCTGTCTCCAAAACAGAGGGAACAATTGAAGACACCTATCTTCAGTTCTGATACCATGCTGAATGTAAATGGGAGGTACTCCAAGCATGATTCCTTCGAGAAGGGTCGGTCCATCAGCCCTGCACCATCAACTTCCTCATCAGAACAAAGACATGGAGACTCTGTCTTTGGAGAATCTGATGCTGCCCAGGTAACATTTGATCTTGCCACTCTAGATGAGGTATAGCAGCAGTGTACTGTTACAATAGCGAATGAATGTCCCATGCTTGAAGTGCAATCCATTCCTTTGCCTAAGGAAGTCTTTAATCCTTTCCACTCATTAGTCAAGCTGGGCTCACCATTGGTTGTAACATTTCAGAAAAACTGAGTGGAAAGGGTTACACCTGAGGTTCATCATTTACCAAGGGCACTTCATGAATGAAGTGACTAGCAAATCTCTGTGATAGTGATGTTTCTTGGATCATGGGAGAAGGTCCTCATGGCAGACAACTGTTTGACCAACTCAAGTGGGCCTATACTAAGCATTACTGTATATAATGCATTGTTATTTTTGCTTCCCTCTATGGTTGTTAGCAATTCTTGACCTATTTAGGGCAAGAGAGCTTCAGAGTTCTTCATGCATGATCCATAGGTTCACACATCGTTGGATGATCTTCTGGAAAGTAATAGATAGCATCTCTACCAGACCTAAGTAATTGTTTCAGTGAAAAAAAAAAAGTATGCATTTATTACTTCTTGCTTCACCCACCAGGGAAATCTCCAAAGTAGACAATAGGCAGCAAAGTAAATCCTTGGATACTCCTTCCTCTGGCCACTTATCAACTATTTGGCTGTCAACCCTGCTTTATATGACTTGTTGCTTGACAAGTTAATTACCCCTTTTGATAATTTTTTTACTCCAGGTTTTGGTGAATATATCACAACATAGTTTGTTACAAGTTTCTTCAGATTTTTCCTTCTTTTTGAGGACGTGAAAAGCAGAATCTAGTCACTTGGGAAGGATAAGAATCCTCTGTCCATTCCCAATTAATGATTTCTTTTAAGTAATTGCCTTTAACCTTGCTCTGGCAATTATATTCTGATGAAATTTAAACATTCTTTTGGGAAGACAGTCTCTGTCAGGTGTAAGTTTCATGAAAATACCCCATCCAAGAGTGGAGATATTTAGGCAAAAAGTCAATGGGGCTTGTGACACCCTGCTTATATATTGTCACATATACAGTAGACACGATTATTTGTGACCACAGTGCAAGGAAATTTGATAGCATTGGGCAGCTGATAACAATATGCAGACACCACTGTGTATTGGTTTCTGCTTTCAAGATATGACTAAATTATCCTACTGGTAGCAGTAACCAGTGATCATGATAAGTGGTGTTTCTACTGTACTGTCATGGATCCAATTTGGGAGATTCAAGATATAATGATATATAGCCATTGTTTAAGATTTCTTTAACAAAGAATCTAATAGAAGTGCACAAGAAAGTGAGCTGAAACGCTTGATTTTCTTGAAATAGAACTTGCACCCAAGCAAAACTTACTAATTTTGTTCAAATGAGCATAGAACCTGAAGCAGAAGTTGTATGTGGCTCTTTGACCAGCACTGGAGAAATAAATAACATTCATATATATTAGCCCAATTTATGATTTAAGGAAGGCAAAATATTAGCCTGACATGATGTGTAACAAAGTTGTTTTGAACTATGGGGAAGTAATGCATAAATTTGATTTCTCTTAGGATTTTTCATTTTTATACTCTTCTGCAGTCATTAGAGCAAGGAATCAGTTTATATTTATCTGTTGCCAAAAATTTTATCTTGCTGTCCTAATTTTTGTTGCCTCTTGTTTTAGTTTCAACATTGACCAAAATTACAAATTTCGTTTTTCTTACCATTATGCAGAAGTTACCTTGCTCATGATAAAATCAGTATCTATGTCATCCTGAGGATAAAAAAAAAAAATTGTAATTTGTTATATTCCCTGCTCTTCTTCCCTTCTTTGGTTCATTCTCTTTCCTATATGAACACTCAGATGCCAGAATGGGGGATGTCTTCTCCCATTTCCCACTCTGACATCACACTGAAGATGTCAGTGTGGGGGGTGACATCTTGGAGGATGTCATCATACCATTTTCTTGAAGTATGTTGACCATGAAACAAAATGACTGAAAGTAATCCCTATCCAACTTGGCATGTATAATTGACATAAAAACTTCCAAACAAATCATTAATTTTGAGGAAAAATTAAAGCAAACCTTTCTAGAACTTTTTTAAACATATGATCTGAAAATATCTGACTTATTGAACCAGAACAATGCTGGTAATGTTGAAGTGATATCAGCAGCAAAAAAATGAACCACTTCTCATACTGTGTGCAAATGCTGACCTCTGATTCATATATAGCTTATGAAAAGACCTTGTCATTGTCAGAATGAAAGAAGGTTTCTGACAATGAAACCTCATTTACTTGCTGGAAAATCAGATTAATGACCATAATTGCTACAAAGTAAAGTCCACCTGCCTAAGCTACCAGTACCAATGAGAGTGATAATGCATGTTCCAGAATTGGAGGAATTCAGAAACATTTTGAAGGAAAGGCATTGGTTTGTTTGCCAAAAAAGTAGTTTTACATGTAAGTTTTTATTACTCTAGTCCAGTGGTTCTCAATCAGTGGGTCACAATGGTCTTCCAGGTGGGTTGCAAGAGAAGGAAGAGAACTAAAAGTAAAATTTATAGAAAATTAGAGAGGGGTTAGAGAAGACAAGGGATGAATCATAAGCGCCCAACTGAACCACAGGAAAGTATTACATGAGCTAAACTTTCCAAGAAAGATCTAATCTACTACATAATCCAGATTAGAAGCAGTACAGGGATTTCTTGACAAACAGGTCCAAGAAAGGGCATATAGCAGTAAAATGTATTTTTTTTTATCACTATAGCTCCCCCTAGCATTCATATCCAGTCGTTGTTTTCTTTCTAGCATTCTCAGCAGTTCCTTGTTGCTGTGGGTGGGGGTGGCACTGTTTTTTTGTGGGCAGAAGCTAAAGTTTATTTTCTCGATTTTGTTTTTCTGCTACCAACTGATATATTTCCTTCTCTATTTTTTTGGAGGGGGAGGTTTACAAAATTTGTATCATCCATAATTTTCTGTAGCTACTTATTTAGGTTTAATATTGTAATGCTGGTGGATCAGATTGTTTCCTGATTAAATTGAGTGCAAGCACTGGAACTAATGGCAGCATCCTTGTGGAGTCATTGGGACAGAAGTCTGCTATCCTCCAGCAAAAAATTCAAAACTAGCACTGATCCAGAAGCATAATTATTCATAGCCTCTGTGGTTTCAGTATCAACATATGAAACCAGAATGCATAGTTTGTGGTGAACTGTTAGCCAATGCATCCATGAAGCCTTCAAAATAATCACTCAACATTGAAGGATGAGCCAGCCAAGTTTGGAAAGGAAGCTTGAAGAGGTAAGGAAACCCATAAGGAATAATGAAGGAAATATCTATGCCCAGAGCAATATATTGAAAATGTAATTTCCAAATTTTTAATTATTATTGTTTTTTGCATGTCACACAATTGCATTATTTTTTTATGCTTTTGATTCCAGGCTGGTTCATGGGGAAAGAAAAGGTTTTAGAGTTGGAAAATTTTTACATCATAAGTTCATTGCACCAAATCAATTTCAGGATTCCTCATCAATGGGGAAATTTGATTTTGCAAAGCCCAAGCTTTCCCTTCCTTAAAAAAAATGTGAGTTGTGGAGCATATCTTTTCTCACTTAGGTAGTAATTATATTTTTTTGGTGGAGAGGATATGTTTTTCTTACAGCTATAAAGATATAGTGTCATACTATGAGTATATTCTACTTTAATTGCAAATTGTAGTAGGTTTGGTTCCATGTTAAAGGTATTTGGAAGCTTCATCCAAAGGCAGAAGAGATTTCCCTCACTTGGAAATTTGTTTCCTCTGTGTGATCCTGTTACACTACATCTTGCATTTGTTTGTATCGAAAAAATGTGATTAATAGCTCAAGTCCTGCACAGAATGATTTTCACTTGCTCACACTTGCACTTGTTTGGTCAATGAAGAGGCTTTTGTCTGTATGGGGAGAAAAGAGGAGTGTTTAATTATTAATAATGGGTTCAGGAGGTGTATCCCAGAAAGTAATTTCTTTTTAGGTCAGCAATTAAATAAGGGCTGAGGCCTTCCTCTCCACTTGGGGGGATGCCTCTTATAGAAAGCAGTCTATACCATATTTTCCTTCCATTCCTTCATAATTCAGTCAAGGGGGTCTGTGCTAGTCAATCAGGGGTTTGTCACATCTCTTTAATGTTAATAGCAAATAAATCATGGAAACTTATGAACTAAATTATTTGATTTTCCTGTGGATTTTTTTTTTTGCCTGCAGTTCTCATTCATTTCAGTGTTCCTTGCTCCACATTTCCATTTTGACAATACTAGTCAATTATTTTAAACTAGAGTTTGAAACTGGAATGAAACTGAATGCCAGAAGCATTTCAAACTGGAGATGAAACTGTAACTGTTGTCAACATGAACAAGCAAGCCAAAAAGAAACTGAAGGTAATTGTATATGACTACCCATTCCAGTTGTCTTCATTCCTCTATACTTATCAAACGTTTTATTTTTATTTTTTGATAATAAAAATATTTCCCACTTTAAGTAAATTTTCAGAGCATTTTCTCTCATTATTCAAAGTCATTCTATGAGAAGCTGATTTTGATGACAATGATAATGTACCAAACTGTTCATGGTCCGTACTCCTCAAACCCAAAGTCAAAAATGACTTTTAGGCTGTGTGCATGTTTGTGCGAGTGTGTAGAACACACATCGTGTAGATTCATTGTTTGCCCTTTTAATATGGAGCAATCTACCTTAAAAGGCAATTTTCATGATGCTTCCTTTCTTACAACTCTGGTTACTCGCTCCAGGAAATAGGTTTTATTTGCTTGAATTTTCAGAACAAAGAGAAACGGTTATAACTAGTAACTGAAGCAACAAAAAAATTCAAAAGCTGTGAGCTGAAGCAAATACCATGGCAAAATGACAGGGAAAGACCAGAGACCAGAGTGTAACCAGAACTGACCTGGTATTTCATTTGTCCCACCCTCTTTAAATAATTGGATCCTGTTTCATCCCTGTCATTCAAGTATGAGCAAGGCTGAAACAGGATCACATCTCTGTGGGCTGCAAGGAAGGAAAATACCAGGTTAGCCAACAACAAAAAAAAACGCGCCGCTCTTTGAAATATTGTGGCACCGCTGAAACAGCAGCTAAAACTGTGAAATTCCTTTCATACATACCTCTACGCATTCTTTGAGCTTTCAAAAATTTTCGGCTTGTTATCTCCAGCCCGTTTGGCACAAGAGTGATTTTACGAAAGCAACTGGAATTTTATTTTTGCACTCGCACCTGGGCGCTGACGGGAAGACCCACCCGGAATGACGTTTATTCTCAGGATTTTTCCCCCTGCACTTCAGAACTCGCTAAGCAAATCTCTGACTCATCCTTACGTCTGGCAATTTGCATATAATAATTTTGCATCCCAGGATTATCATCTTGAGAAATAATGACTTCTTCCACATTTCTTTCATCCTTTATCTGAAAATTCTTGCAAATTTCCGCCCACCCCATCCTTTCGCAAAGAGCAGCATTTTCATGGGGAGATGGAGGAGCTCTGGCCCCGGGATTCGTGCGCTCCACGCCTATCAACTGCTCTTCCGCTGATACGTTTCCTCGAGAAAAAAAATAAAATTCAAGTCGCCTTCGCGTTTTCGCTCCTTTGCTAAAACGGTTTGAGAAAAACTAACAAGAATTTTAGGACGTTTCAAGAATACGTTGAAGTCGTTGCAAAAAAAATTTATCATGCTATCTTTTTTCTCATGAACTCCAATGAATCTCGAAGAGCGGCGGTTTTTTTTTGTCTCACCCGGTATATTATGTTTTGCTGGCTATGTTGTGGCATGTGGCTCCATTGTCATGTCAAGATTCAATATGAGATGCATCCATCCTTGCTAGATGCTGTTCAGGTATTCCCATGCCAGTAGAGGGTCATTCATACTAAAGAGACTGAAGTATGAGGTTTCGGGCTGCAATATGAGACATCATCATCCATAAGAATTTTTTGTCTGGTTTGGTTGCAGCACGTGTGGTGTTTCCATTGGTCTCCATAGTAACGCTGCTCATCAATAGTGTCCACTAAGCCCTTTCTCACAGTAGTTTGTCCATAGCCTCTTTGCCTTCCACAATTCGTTCAGTATGTACCTTGTGTTCTTGTAGTGAAGATGTAGCTCTTCCTATTGTTTTTGTGCTTGACTCAGGATGACTTGATGTGTAGCTGGTAGTCACTGCCATGAGTGCCCTTATGACCACCTGCTATTCGTCAGCTAGTTCACCTGATTTAAGTCACTGCATATGCATTCGAAGGGTCAAATTTGTAAGTGGCATAAACCACATGCAATTTTCTTCATTTCAAGTTTTTAATTTTGATTTTTTAAATTGTCATTGTTATTTATTTATTTATTTATTTTTAACTGTCCAGAATGGCCTTGGAGATACTCTCTCTGCATATTTATTCCTATAGAATTTGAATCTAAACCAAAAAACAGGATTTAGTTTAAAGTAATGATGGGTACTTGTCATGTGGAACTCATCGTTCTTGTCATACTGTCGCGTTTATGACAGCATTTAGTCATGTATGACGTGTTACCACACTTTTTGTTTCCTTTGAACTGTATTCAGTCATGAGAGTTATGCCAAGCGAATTAGCATGAAGAGAAAGGCAGCTAGCAAAACTTGGTTTCTGTGTTTGATTTGTGTCTATTCTTCATTCTATTCAACGACAAAAAAATTACAAGGCGTAAATTATATTCCTCATTGCCATTTCAGTCACCGTAAATTTTAAAAATAAATGTATCACCGCAAAATATCTGATATCTATTCCCTATGACCCTTGCAGCTCATTATTTCAGGAATCACTTTCTGATGAATGAGGCTGAATGAAAGCCTGGTTCTGATAGTGCCCCCCCCCCCCCACGGCTTTGAATTTAAAGCCACGATGTCAATGTCATCACAATGTCGGTATCGGAAGGGACTTAATTGGACTGAGAGGGGAGATGAAGAGCCATGTGCTGCATCCTCTCACCCTGCAATCACTACCTTGGGGTCCGTAAGGAATTTGGCCGCAGCATTTGCACCTTTCTCTAGGGTGGATTGGGCAGTCGTGTCTCTTGATAGAAATTTGTGTCCTCGCGTTGAGTGTGATGATCTTGAAATAATTTTATGGGAAATCTTCCGATGGATATTCTGAGAGGTGGTTCCCTCGTTGGTATCAGGGTAGACATTATTACAACTTCTGTGCGTCATATGCTGAAATTATGGCTATATTTACATGCCCGTATTTTAGAAATAATGTATGTAGATTTTACAACTCCAAAAGCAGTTATTCAACTGTAAGTAGCGAGTTTTTAGAATGGTAGTTAAATTATCTTAATTATAAAGCAGAGCTTTTTTTTTTTTTTTTGCTTTGACGACGCTTAATGTGCATCTGTGATCAATGCATCAATAATTTTATATTGCTGATTCAAGATTTCGATACATGGGAGATGGGGGGGGGGGGGACAAGAAAGCCGAATCAGAGCTTCCGGGTTGAATCATGAAGGATTGGTTATTGAAGGAGAGAACCGAAGTAAAATAACTGGAGAAGTGTGTTTGTGTGAAGTAGGGGAGTGAGGCGGACGTCTGCAGCTGGTGCCCTTGGAAGGCGACGACGAAAATCCCACTTCTTTTTCTTTTCTTTTTTTTTTATTCCCCCGCTCCCCTCTCGCGCTACAGTCGTGGGGAGTTTTTGCCGAGAACATTTACGTTTCATGGGAATGGTTGGCTGTCGTTTACGCCACAGGGAGCTTGGAATGAGTTAAGATTCTTCAGAGAAAAATATGGCCTGGGGTAGAGGGAGAGTAGGGGAGGGGAAAAACGCCGAGACTCGGACACTGATCCAAGGTCACGCAATCTTTTGCGCTCTATACCATCAAGGGCATGCTCTGGTGATAATTTTCAGCGACAGCAACAAAATATAGGATCCGGTTATATGAGCATCGGCTGTTTACAGGAAATCTAATTGTTCAACAGCCCTAAGAGGAATACATTATCTTCATAATGCGTGATTCGAAGAACAATTTGTAGATTTTAGATTAACTTACTGCTTAATTAAAGCCTTAACCGCTATTATAATAATCAAGGTTTAAGCAGCTATTTATAAAGAGACACACATTTTATATATTATAGATCTAATGCAAACCATGCTGGCTTAAGTATAAGTGGCTTGTATGTGAACTGCAAAGCATCTTGTGTAATGGGCACCCTTTCAGTTATGTATTTTTAAAGTTTTCAGACTCCTCAAACCCTGTGTCATTGTGACCCTGACCCGTTATTGAAGTTTGCAAAAGGTTTCATTATCTCATAATTGTAGCAAATCATATTGCTCCTGAGATGCATCATGCATCCCTCATCATCAGCTCAAGACTTTCATGCAGATTCAGCACTGGTACCAATGGCATGATTCACTCAGCAAACTGTATGAATGAACATATTTCTTATTGGGTGATGAAGGAAGCCCAGAAGAATATCCATTGCTATCCAAAATTCTATCCCTATTGTAAACCAGGATCTCATTTATATCTTTACAGGGAGGTGTGACAGATTCAAGTCAGATTTTGAGTGAAGAGGGCCTTCATAAAAAGAGAAGTGAGAGCCAGCTTAATGATGAAACCTCAAGTGTGAAGCGATCGGACAGTCGGCAATCCAGCAGCAGTGAGAAGACCAAGAAGAAGTCCACTTGGTACAACCCCTTCATTGCCAACTACAAGACCAAGTGTGATGATTTCCAACGAATCTTTAGTCTCCCTCAAGATGAACGTCTTCTAGTCGGTATGCCTGTTCAGACCATCCCCCCCCTGTGTATTCTTTCCTCACGTGGGTTTTTCTCAGTAAACATCACATGACTCTATTCCCGTGTGACTATGTCAGTCAACACCATGTGATCTAGTAAAACCAGGAAGTAGACATAGTCACATAATAGAAGACCAGTAAATGCTTATCTGGCCTCAGCGAGATATGACGTTTTTTTTGGTGACAGTATCATAGTACCAGTAAGACAATGATCATGTAATGCTTTCTATGGTAATCATGCTGTTCTTTAAATATATATGCTTGGACCTTTGACTTTGGTTCTGTCGCAGACACTCAAAATGAGTCAATACTGCAAAGAATTATATGATTTTGTATCCTCTCAGATTACTCGTGTGCACTGCAGCGGGAGATCCTGATCCAAGGACGGCTGTACATTTCACAAAACTACATATGCTTCTATGCCAATATTTTCCGCTGGGAAACACTGGTGAGTAGAGCTGCTTTTCTTTTTGTTCAATTTTGCATCTGATTAGTATCCTCCCTACTCCACTTTTCCAGTAGTCCATGTTACATTTTTGTCTTTCTTATGAAGGATGCATTTTCTACAAAACAATACTGCATTCAGAAGATGATACAGGCTCTTTTCTTTTCATGATTGACTTTCTCAGAGGCTGCAACAACATGCAATTCATTTTCTCTCCTGTCTCTAAAATGTTAAAATTCAGACTTGTGCAAATGCAATTAAAGATTGGATTTATGCAGAAATTCCTCATTTATTATATTTAAACTGAATTTGGCAGGTTTTGCTACCTGAAACTTCCATAACTTAACCTCATGATGAGCTGACATGAATTTCATGAGTATCACTATCTGTGCTGAAGTAGTTTATGAAAGAGCGATGTGGCTTGAGGAGATAAGCAGGTGAAACATTTGCTCCCTTATCTATCATGTGACAGTTTGAATCCATAGAAGAGTCTCATAACCTTGAACAAATCTGAGTGATCCTACCTTCATGGTGGTGGTGCATTGGTGCCATGTTTCATTACCATCATTCCATTGTCTTCATGACTTTTGAGTAGAGATCAGATCTCTCCCTTAAAGATTGGCCTTTGTGTTTTTAATGGGCTATCTGTTGGGAAGGATGGGGTCGTTCATAATTCCATGGTGTCTATATATATGTATATATATCCATTATCTTGTCAAAAGTCAAGATCCATCTTTGAACATACTGTACATTGCAATTGCCTTACCTGCCTGTTAGGTGTTACCCCTCTCCCAGGTATGAACAACAACCTGAACCCATCCCAGCAGGGAAATATTACTGGCATGTCTACCATTGTGCCATGACAATATGTACTGCACTGTAGGGCAGGGCAAAAAGTAATAATAGCTAGACTGAACTTTCTGCCAATTGCTACCAAATTAATGTGCCCCCTTCAAAGGTAGTGTACTCCCATCATACAGTCATTGTGCTGTTGACCAATGTTCAAGACCATGGACATGCCATATATACCTGCTGTTTTGCTGTTAAGTAAGTTAGTGAGGCATGTGGTTACTCAGTCCCACAGTAACATTTCACTATGTCAACCTTTGTACAGATGGGCCTTCACTTTTGGCAATGTGGTGTTTAACACATTGACTGCCATTAGGCACATTGATATGCCTCACTAAGTCCCTTTTCCTGCACCATGAGATGCACCGGTGCACCTTGTGCTTCTTCTTTTATGGATTTAAAAATTACTTTGACCAAGGAAAGTCACCAGGCCAATATGGCTGTGGTGGTCAATATGCTAATCAATACCAGTTTCCTTGTTTACTGATACAGCTAAAATAAATATTGGAATGATCTTGAGGAATCTCCTTTTCCTCCCACCCAGCTACTACACAACCACCACTGTCACCCTCAGCATAGCATGAATCTTTAACCCCTTCACTGACAGACCCAGAAAATTCTCAGGCTGACTTCCTTTTGTATCTCTAAGCTCACCAGTTAAGGGTTTAACCCTAATACAGGCTGGGCTAAAAAAAAAAAAAAACAAAGCTGTTATTTTTTGCAAGTCATCAATCTCATTGTAGTTTGCCAATTCTGATTAAATTTGGTAAGCCTATAAGATTGACATAATTGGAGTTTTTATGCGAATTTAAGCCTTCTGGCTTTAAAATTATAGGAGCTGTAGTTATTTTCTGATGAGCCTAAAAATAAGGGGCTGTCAAAAATAGTGACATGAACTTCAGGCCAGGATGAAAGGGAGGACCAAATTCATGACCTTCCATCCCTGCATGATGCTATAGAGGTAGATTGGGAGGCACTGCCTCAAAGATTTATTGACTGAGCCCTTGATCTGTGGTGTCCCAGACAAGAGGCTTGTGTTCAGCAGAATAGACGGCACATTGAGCACCTTTTCAGTTTAAATGAACCAACCTAAACCAAATTGTGTGCTTTCGTATTTGGCATTTGTGCTTTTTTTCCTGTTTGTTTGCTTGGTTGTTTTTGTCAGTTGTGAGAAATTTTTAATTGAACAAAAAAATGAACACTTACATTTTTGGTGATGAAAAGTAAATTAAATGCCAATTTCACAGCTTTTGAATTTTGATTTGAAACTTGGCACACAAACCCTAATTGACTCATCTTATGTGCCTATCAAATTTCATATGAATCGACTGCCTACAATCCAATTGACAATTCACTAAAAATGATAGTTTTGTTTATTTTGACCTGCCCTGTTCCAGTTTCTAATTCTACTGAGTCAACATTTTCATATTTTATTTGTGCAGGTTTCCATCCAATGCAAGGATGTGAGAGCCATCACTAAAGAGAGAACTGCACGGTTCATTCCAAATGCCATCCAAGTTTGTACTGATAATGAGAAATATTTCTTCACGTCGTTTGGAGCTCGGGAGAAGACTTATTTGATGCTCTTTCGAGTCTGGCAAAATGCCCTCCTTGATCAGGTTTGTGAACTTTGAGACAGTTGGACCAACCTCCTTATATTTATCTTATATTTATCAGTAAGTTGTTATTCTGGTTTACAGCCTATGAGCAGCCAGAAACTATGGCAGTATGTGCATAATTCATATGGTGAAGAATTGGGTTTGACTAGTGCAGATAACGACTACGTGTCTCCACATTCCGACGAAGCCTGCTCTCCTGCAAGTATGGGGCAAGGAGAAGGTGCAAATTCTCTTGACGTGAGTACATGTTCATCTTCATATGAATCTTTGATGTTCCTTGTGTCACACAATTTTTCATTTACTCAGTACATATCAGTCATATCTTCTTGTCAAGCTTTATCAATGTAGCCCTTCTATAGGCTTTTCTGCCATTGTTCAAAATCGTCACCATTTAGTAAACTGATATGTGAAAAAAAAACATGATTAGAGATAAATCCCAATTATAGCTCAAAAAGTCATTCTGTAATGGTATTCAAACTGGTTTTTTGTAAACAGTTCCAGTATGCTTTTACCTTTAAATATTCTTTTTTCTTAGTAGTTGGAAAGAAATAAAGTGTACTGAATATTACTGCTTTAAAATAAGTTATGAGTCAATCAGAACCTTGAAGTTTCAGCAGCAATGATTGAGCTTGCCTTCCCTTGTCCTCTTGTGATATCTCTGATGGGAGTTCCACTAGGTTTATGGGATTTCCTGGTACTTTCTCTTTGATTCCTGAACCATGAATTAAAATTTATTCTATGTGCATCTATCATTAGATGAAAAAACAGTCAGCAGTCAGTGTTCATATCTTCAGTTCAATAAGTAAATTACTTTTGAAATTTTTTCATTTACTCTATCACAAAAACAGGTCGGTTGAGTCTGAGTGTAGCATCAACAATGTTACTGAGTAAAAGTCCTGCCATTCTAGGACCTAACTCCAGAACAAGTTAGTTTGGATGAAGTATGTTGGTGGAAAGGTGCAATGTCATAGGTAGGGCTGTGTTAATTGGGTGATACAGGCCAAGAATATTGTTTCCAGATGTACAAACTGAATTTTTTTTCGGAGGGACATAACCATGATGTTACTACAAATGTTGGCCTTAGGAAAGGCTGTTGTTAGAACATTAAAAAGATAACTTGATAAGTAATCCCATGAAGTTTACACAAATGACATCTCTAAGTTAATTCACCACTTACCGTTCCCAGAATCAACCAAGTTATAATTTACTAGAAAGTAGCATCATATCCATGATGTATATATGTGATTACAAGTAACTAGTAACTACTACATACTAGTTCTTCTTGATTCCAATGGAGAGAAAAAAAAAAACTCTTTTCGCAAAAATTTTTGTTTAACTCGCCTAAATGAAGTTTCAGCCGCTGGCCTTAGCATCTTTCGGCCTAGGAGTGAGGCTGCCCTTCGTTTCAAGAAATTATGCACTCGACATGATGTACTTCACTGACGGGAGAAAAGAATGAGGAAGGAGTGAATGGAGGAAAAAGCCGGTTCGAATCCTGTGTTTTGTGTGATATACAGTTTCCTTGTTTGCCTCCCCCATGTGCCCTTGACGGGATCCAGAGCTGGTTATTGCGAGGGACAGGTCTGGTCGTGACTCTGCCTTCATCTGCCTTGTTCCCTCTTCTTGCATTTGTCATGACGTCGGATTTGGAACGGCGGGGAGGGAGGTATATATAGATGTACGGATTTTCCCTATCCCCCCCAATCACGCAATCGATTCATTGATTCGTGGATGTGACTAAGGTGGGGGAAATAGGAGACTCGTGAAGTTCTGCATTATTATATAGCGAAGGGGAAGAAAGCGTTTCATTTGCCCTTATCTATAGCTACCCGTTAGGCTTTTTTTTTTTCACTTTTCATGGTCTTTGCCCTCGAAAGTGGCACCACTTCCCGTTCTCCGTAAGGTAAACGTGACCCTAGAAATGAAATCACTTATCAGGAGTCGACCCCGAATAAACAACTCTCCCCCCCCCCCTTCTCTTTTTCCGTTTCTCCCCAACCCATCAGACTAGGATTTTCCAGTTTCGAGTCCCCATTGTTTTCTCAAATGACAAGCATTGTAAACCAAGCGACCTTGAGTTTAGAATGCGATCGGAGCGGCTGGGAAATTCCGAGCCTCTTATCGTCTTCCTACTCGACGGCCTTTTGTGTTGCCCCGACTGGCTCGATGGCTGCGTGTGTGTAACCTTGAGGGTTCCTCCTCCATAATAACGATTAGGTACATTGATGGCCCTTTCATCCTGGATCCCATCGATCCGTTGTGGGTAACTCGGGGGAAAAACTTATTACGGGGTGTTTCATAAGTTTGGCGGCAGATCTAACGATGATGACATCTGTGTCCATTGAAACTATCTTTGAGAGACTATCTTTCGCTTTGGCAGCCCCCTAAGTCAATTCGGTTTTGAGTTCCTGAACAACACTTGAAAACCGAGGGTTACCTGAGAAACGGGCGCTCTACCTCTCGTATGCGTACCTAGAGCTTTCCAGGTATCTCTCCCTATTTTTCTGCTTATCAGCATTAGCCATACTCGGCTTCCTGCCAGGAAGAGTTTCAACCTCCATCCCTCAAATGATGCCAGTACGGCGTGATGTTTCAATAAGATGGTGCGCGCGAGGTTCATTTTAAACGTTCAGCGGGTCCAAATGGCGAACAATATGCCATCCAAAGCTGCCGACACGATTGATGTGGTTGGCGCTGAAGTCTTTCGAGCTTGGAATGTGACGAAATGAAACAGGATTCCTCAGACCGAGACGAAAGATCGGATATCCAAACCGCTACACTTTCTCCCTTTCATGCGCTATACGTCCGTCATACGCCCATGAATCCGAGTCGGTAGCCCAGGTGCACCTTGGGAATACGACTATTAGATAAAATTCGCCTCCATTTCCCCATAGCCTCTCCCCCCCCCCCCCCCCCTGCCCTTTTACTTTTGTCTTCTCCTGCACTTTCCATCATGCTCTTCGTGGTTGTGCGAAAAGAATTGAGACTCTATGGCTTGGCAGACGGGATAATGGAGTAGCGACTGACACATAACAGAAAATCGCACTTAGATCTCTGTCCCAAATCCATTGTTTGCTTATTATTGGAAACAAGAGAGCCCGGCATCGTAATGAAAGCGTTCCCCATGGGTATCTGAGCTTGCGTAAGACGTGAGAAAATGCTAGCGACTTTTCCTGCGGTTTTGTCTCTTTGCCCAACGCATCTCGTTGAGGTCAACGTATTCTCTCGTGATACGAACCCAAGCAAAAGTAATACCTGTTGCGGAAGGAATGTTACGTCAATACTCAGCGGTCAATATTAGACATACTGAATTAACGATAGTGTATTTACCGTATTGAACAATACGGAAAACAGTCTTGTGGGAAAGCTGTTATTGACCAATATACGAATCACATAGTGCGAAAATGACTTTACAGGTACCACTGTTTTCCGCTATTTCCTCAGAAGATTGTGGAGTGAATCCGAATGATACTGACTCCTTGAAAGTTTTTTCTCCGTTATGCCCTGGGGATTATTTTGTCGACATTGTACAGCCATTGAAATAAGGTTCAGTAATATACAGGGTGATTATAAAGTAGCATGGTGGGTGTACGGCACTCGAGCATAAAAACTGTATCGCAGCTCGGCGAAACTTGGGGGGGGGGGGGATATTGTCGCAATATCGGGAGAAACCGTTGAGTTCTGCCTTGTTATGTAGCGAAGAGGAAGAAAGCGTTTCATTTGCCCTTATCTATAGCTACCCGTTAGGCTGTTTTTTTTTTCCACTTTTCATGGTCTTTGCCCTCGAAAGTGGCACCACTTCCCGTTCTCCGTAAGGTAAACGTGACCCTAAAAATGAAATCACTTGGAGATTATCAAGAGTCGACCCCGAATAAACAACTCTCCCCCCTTCCCCTTTCTCTTTTTGCGTCTCTCCCCAACCCATCAAAATAGGATTTTCCAGTTTCTAGTCCACATTATTTTCTCAAATGACAAGCATTGTAAACCAAGCGACCTTGAGTTTAGAATGCGATCGGAGCGACTGGGAAATGCATGGTGGGTGTACGGCACTCGAGCATAAAAATTGCATCGCAGCTAGGCGAAACTTGGGGGGGGATATTGTCACAATATCGGGAGAAACCGTTGCACAGCAAAAAATTACTTGGAAAGAAAATTACTTGAAAAGCTGTTGATGTGGCGTCACTTGTAAACAGCAGGATGGGAAGTAAATGGATGGGGCTTACAATAAATTTTCCGTAAGGTGAATCAATTCTCGAGTTGTCGGTAAATGTAACGAAGTATCAAATAGTACTTGTGCAATGTTTTTCCTCGAGTGTATTCAATGCAGGGGCGATATGACAGGCTTAGTGCTTCACAGCTGCCTTGTTCATGCCCATCAATAGCTGCACTTGCTATGTACACAAATACGTCTCATCAGCAGCGCCCTCTGCGAGGCATGTGGTTTTCATGTTAAATTTCCTCCCACCGTTCAAATACCATTCCCCAAGTTTCATTGAATTCTGTTGCTCAGCTTTCATGCTAGAGTGCCGTACATCTATAGCCCATGAAGTGACTTCGTAATTATTAATAGTACTATATTAGCTGTTATGGAAACCTTAGTGATGAGTTTAATTTCTCCTGAAATCACGACTTTTAGATTTTTTCCCTGCGTGCAGAGGCAGCGTGCCAACGTCATTGTTGGTTGAGTTTAGCCGTTTAATAACCGTCAGCATAGTGTTGGAAGAGTCCATTGCATCTTTAAAGTTAGGTCCGACAGCTCAGGTAGGACGAATCGATGAATTCCGCAACGACTTTGGATCTCAACTATTTGTTCCCTTGTTTCACTGGAGCTGACAGCGTCTTAGTGCACAGGACCATATACCTTCGAGGAAAAGGCGAATCGGATGAATCGAAGCACAGAAGGATTTATCTCAGAATTTCCAGGGTTAGATTTTGTCGTGATTATCCTTCCTGATTAGCATTCGGCTAATTCCGCATCCCTTCTGCTAAAGCCGCAGCACTATTCTAGGAATTTTGCAACCCTTACTTCTTCCATGCCCCCTCGCCCTTCAAGGGCGAAGTTATTAGTTTTCAGGCCCTTAATTCTGGCAATGATGGATAATAGTTCTTCCCATGTTCAGATTTACCAGGAGTTCAGGTATGAAGTACAAAAAATCTCAATCTAACGAAGCGAAAAAGGCCGTCTCCAAGATTCCCCATAACAAGTAAAGGGCGACTTTTCTGTATTCTCTTGTTTTTTTTTTTCGGCGATGGAAAGTGGGGGCCTCAAGACGTGTTTAAAAGGGGAAAGACCTCTAACATATGCCATGAATTATCCTGGCGATATTATTATATTTTTCAAGACAGTGAAATTATAATACTCTCAATTTCCAATGTTGAAACATAATTTGCCAACCCTCCTCTTTTATCATTTATGGTTGTTCCTGGCACTCCATACAGTTTGGAGTCCCGCGCAAGTCCATCCTGCCTGACTTTGTGGCGTTAATTGCCGCATCTTGATCTTCTTGCAATTACTTATTGCTTGTCCTATCCTAATTGCTGATTGTTATTGGCTATTTTCTTCGTCCTCTGACTCTTGCTGCGTTTTTGGTTTTACCTTTGGGGTTTCCCATTTCTTTGCAAATGGCAATATCCCAACTTATAGATATGAATTGGAAGTCAGATGTGACCTGCTTAAGCACGACAGAAGACTGAGCGATAAGAGTGCGAACTTAAAAACCTTGCCGTCAGGAGAATACAGGAAATTTCCTAGCAAGAAGTTACGGAATTCACCGATGGTTCATTTTCCGATCGGGCAATTCCGCAACGTCTGCACTTCCGATACTTAAGGAATTATGCATGTCAATCACTTCTTACTCAGTTCTGAAACTATCGAAGGACTATAGGGAGGTGCAATCTACTGTACATTACCATATGCCCTAAAATATGTTTAAAGATAATGTTCGACTCGTGTCGAACAATCGGACTCTCACTATAGAGCACGGTATTTTCAGCGAGGAGGAGCACCTTGCTTCTGTTGTCCACGCGTCATTATTTACCAAGTTGAGATGAAAGAGCTGTGATCGCAGTGATGTCACAGTACATATGGCACTATCCATAAAATTCATCCATAAAATTCCTGTGGTATGACACTCAGTACATGTGCGTCACTAGTTCCGAAGTTCCGACAGGCCAGCCGGCCCGAAATTTCTAACGTGATCACTTTACTCATATGGCGATAAGTTGACATTTTCATTCAACCCGTTCAGAGGTCGTCCCCCCTCCCATAGACAGATCGTTGTCTGATGGTATCTCCGAAATGGATAGGACTGATTCCCGTTTTTGTTCCACTTAAGCGTGAATTATGTGTTTATTATCACCCCGATCTCCGTCATGGTAGGACAGCATGATCAGCGAGAAGTATGAAACACCCTGTAACAGGTGGAGAAGGGGAAAGCGGAAAAGAGTGGCGTTCATGCTAGAGTGGTCGTCAACGAATGACATGACATGCGATCCTTTCTTTTTTTCCCCTCATTCATGACTGGAGGTTCTGAAGGGGAGTATCTCAGGAAGAACCGGCTTGAGTTACTGGCTCAGGTTATGAGATCCTGCCATCCGCGGTGCGTGCATGTGTGATGTGTGGATGCGGTAGAGTCAGGAGTCAGGAGTCAGGAGTCAGGAGGGAGGGTCCCGCTGGTCTCATTCTCCTGCGGACCGGCCTTGAGCCCGGTTCCATTTGCGAAGCTTTCTCCGATGTGTGCGCGTGGTGAGTAAGTGTATGCGGTGATGCACGTAGACAAGGAGGAAGAACGGCGGCTCAACGGCTTGCGTCGTAGCCGAAAGGTGGTCAGGTCTGTGGCCAGGGTCCTCCGTAGGGTTCAGAGTCAGGCCTTTACTCAGCCGAGAGATCCTGATACTCGGGAGAATCGAAATGGAATCGAGAAGGAGGATCCCGGGATGAATGACGTACCCGCGGAACCCCATCCCATAACCCGTGGGAAATGGAGCCGGGTCACTTATCCCCTGCAGATGAGGATCATAGAGGCCCGTTTCGGATACGAAGATGTCTCGAAAGAGCTCTCCGAGGTAGGAGATCCCTTCATTTCGTTTCACTTTCATTCCCTTAACCCTTCGCTTTACCTTGGGGGTTCGTATGGGCCGGATCTGAGGCCTTGAACGAGGTTCGTCCGTGAGTGTCTGCATGCAGTGATTGTGCAATATATATCCCTTAATCAGTGAGGCGTTGCTCGTGGGCCTCACGTTCATGACCCAGTTCGTATTTCACGCGGGAGAGGATTCCCCCGTCATTTCATCCCATCGCTTATCACGTCCTCCCCGTATCGATGAAGACGTGAGAGACAGCGAGAAAGAAATGTACCTATTTTATTTTATCGTGATTCTGGTTCCCATTGCAAAGTAAGTCTTTTGTGTTTTACATTCTCATTGTGAATGTTCCCTTTTCCACGAACGCCTTTCACGGAATCCGTCTCCTGCCATTATAACCTACCCTTTTTCCACCTGACGCACGCATATGGCAAGGCTGACCTGAATTTTTTTATTTCTGGAAATTATGGGCCTTCTCTCTTCACCCGTTAAACTCCTGCAATCCATACGAATCATTGACCCGAGATGGAATCCTTTTTGATGCGTTCGAGGATGTGATTGAACTCCGCGATGAGACCACCTTGTCTTTCTTTTTTTTATTATCTTGGACGAGAACGGGCTCTTCAACTCGGTCGAGAGCTGTATCGCATTCCCCCGTGTGCGCCATGGCAAGGAAAGATGGAAATGCACATAAGGCTGCAGTTGCTAGCTGGTCATCGACCGCTTCAGTGAAACGGGGGGAGTATGGGGACGTGCATCTGGGGCCTTCCCTTCACGCTGATCGATAGGGGTGTCAGCCTTCCCGTAGCGTTGTTGTCTTCTGTCAACCTCAACAACGTTCCAAGCCACTAATTATTCATGCTTACTGGATGTATTTCCTAGACGATAATGCGTGGTCGATAGACTGAATGAGCGGAAAGAGAAAGTGGGAGAAGAGAGGGGAAGGGGGGGGGGGAGTGGTGATGCAAAGGAAAAGAATGGGTCAAGGGAAAGTCCCGACTACAGAGGAATTTGAGACCACTTTTGTGGCGTGGCACCAGTCCGTTCCATTCAATTCTTGCTCCCCTCTCTTCCTGCCTTCACAGGCCATGACTGATCATAAACACAATGATAACCCATTCCGGAGCCACTCATTTCCTGCCAAGTGATGAAGGAGGCATTCCAGTCTATTCACTCTATATTTTTCCTTCGTGAAAGAGAACACTTTGTCCATCGCAGAGGCGTTATTTCCTCGGAACCTTGGTAACCCAGCCGTATATCGCCAAGACATGAAGCTGCGAAATTCTTGATGCATTGATACTGCAGTACGGCCATCGCGACTTGAATCCTCTTCAGAATATTTGTTCATGTTTTTTGCTCTTATCTCGACGTTATACTTCGCATGCGATACCATGATGGGCTCCACTTGAGTCGTTGTCACGGAAAGGATGGCCTGCCACGTGGCTTTCGAGGGGAAGTTCAACGGAGCCGTGGCAAGGTTGGAACCGTGGACCCCCAGCTCACTCTATGGAAAGCGAGGATGAGTGGTGGTTTCCGGCTTATTCTTCCAGATGTCGCAACTCTCTAGGTCGTCACCTCCACGTAGGCTGTGAAATGAAATATTCATAGGTAGTCGATGATGTCACGTGACGTGTGACGTTCAATATCAGCGAAGCCCTGCTATGAGGAAAATGTCTCAAGGCGAACTTTTCTTGTCCATATTCGCGACCATGAAGACGGTAGATACTTGAGATATCTCCCGTTCGTACCACCATGACCTTACCTCCCCAAATCGGTACGTTTGGAAACCGTCCTCACTGTGGCGAGGGTTGCTAATGACCTAAGCTTCACCTAACCATGGGTGGAAACATTCCTTGACAATCTTTTGCTCATAATTGCAATCATGGTAATTTTCATAAAGTATGCCATTAGCTGATAATGTTTTGGACGCTGTCCCATGCGCTTGGAAGCAAAATGTCATTATAGATGGGGGTGGAGAACGAAATTTTATTTATTTATTTAGGTTTTAATTTGTCATGCATCTTGCTTTCGAATGCTTCACGCGAGGGTACCTTTCCCTGTTTGCATCGAGTGAATCTATCTGGCAGATGTCTTCTCAGGAGATTCTTACTTTTCGAAGTCAATTTTATTTTAACTGGTCGCGTCAGAATATAATACATAATGTCATTTTAACATTGTACATGAGGTACTTGTACTGTCAGTACCAGGGGCCCAGCACGATCCCACAAAGCAAGATAAATGCTTTGAAATAAGTTCGCTGTTCCGTGTTAGTTGAGTGTTTGAGACCACCGAGAGGCATTAAACCACTCTTAAAGTCCGTCGATGTATTTTGCGTCGGTGTCCTCTGGGTAATTTCTTATTTTGTTCCAGGTCAGTCTATATGCTTTGGATAACAAGTACTTTCTAGATTTGTAGCTATGGATTGAGAAACCATAAGAGCACTTTGCCAAATCGAGGCGAATCCGATGGTTCTTCATTTGTCGAAATGGGTCCGGCATTGTTTTGTTCTCGGTGAATCGATGCCTTTTGGATGGTAAGTCCTTGTTAGGGCATTCAATACTAAATAATGTGCTTGAGATCCCCCATAAAAAGCCCTTTTTCAATGCGAGATTGGACAATGCCCAATTGTTCTCGTGTCGAAATCGGTTTTAAAGCTTTTGCTCAAGGTCGGTCTGTATATTCAGTAGGCGGACAAGAGGAAGATCCCAAACTGGCGTAATTCCCAAAAGCACTTGACCTAGGAGAATGAGACTTTATGGACGAACGTTAATTATGGGACCGGAAAGTAATGGAAAAGACTATCTTGCATTCTTCCTCTCACTAGTATAGAGAAAGTCGATTATTTTTTTACTCTTTAATTTTCATCGAATATTTTTTATCACGGTTCATAGACTCGCAGTATGTACAGATACTTTGAAAAACTTTTTATCAAGTTATAAAATGAGTTCTTTTTGAGCTATTTCAGAGAAATTGCTTGGGTAATTTCATTTCGAACCAAGAGGTGCTTTGAAAAAGTAATGATTGCGGTCAACCTGTGAGGGAGTGAAATGTGTCAGAAGATTCGAGAAAGATTCTGATCTTTTTTAATCATCGTTTTCTATCACAAATCAGATCCTAATCATTCACGTCAGACACGAATCGAATCTCAGTTTTTGGTTGCGAAACGGGAATCAAGTCACATGTCCCAGATTCGCGATCGCATGGAATTCTGACTTGGTCAATTTGTGGGCGACCGGGTGTGCATGACCCAAGTCGGCGAGGCGACGCCTTCGAAGGGAATCGATGCCGCCTTCGACTTGCCGCGAGCGCTTTCTGGAGCGGCTCGATTGATCCGGATTACCGTATTGCACGGAGGACGGTTGACGTAATCGATTCGTGGGTATCGTTAACGAATGACATGGGGTTAATGTGAGCTCGATTGCATTAACGGAGATGAGATAACGGTCACGCATCCGTTAGTGATCTGACAGAGGAACCGTTTCCGCGGAATCGTTACGCAACTAAAAGGGCAATGAGGGGGCCAACTTTCTTCCGTCACAGTATCATTGCCGAGCGTGTTGTGAAAATAACGGCCCTCGTCCGTTTCCCTTTAGCCTCGAGCGATTGTTTCACGGGCTTCGTGTGAATTGTCGTCATCGGCCGTAAGCGTCGATGAAGTGGAATGGAAAGGTCGTGATTCTTCGATCATCCTCCCACACGGTGCTGCGAGGCATCTATCCTCGTTATCGTCCGCGCTCTCGTTCTATTTCTCGCTCGAAACGAAGCAGCTCCCTCGAGATGGTTACGAATGGACCGGATGAACCCAATGTGAAATCCAATCATTCATGTCGCAATCCCATTGAGTCTCCACTAATGCGTCGATGTTTTCAATCGATGAATATTTTCTTCAGCTGCATGCATCATGCATTTCCATATCCTATCAGCCAAAGAGGTTTCATGGAGATTAGAAGCGCTAGGTGCCCTGATCCCCCCCCGCATCTTGTTCAAGGAAAATACTGGAAGGGAGGAAGAGATGTTAATCGAAACCTTGGAATCTGAGCTGGGTCATCCATTCAATCCAGACGTAAAATCTGATGATTACGAGAGTCCCCGAGGGAGAACGAGGATCAATGGGAATCGAGGAGAATAGGGAAAGACGGAGCCCCTGCTCTAAAGCCATCTGGGGTCCGGACCGAATATCATACCGGATGCAAAGCATTCACGCAGAATACCAAAAGCTTTCATGCATGGATCTACAGTATATGTGGAGCAGAGGTGTTTGTTCCAGGCGTATCGCAGTTGCTTCTCGTGTTGAATAAATGCTACTGACCCCAAGCGATAGGAATACATTATGGATCGATCCATGTCGTAATTTTTATCGATTTTCCGGTGCAAAGTGCGAAAGCCACGATCGACACAGGAGCGGGTGGCGTAGAAAAATACGTTTATAATTTAGTATCACGGATACTCATTCTTTATCCATACAGCACGTGGCATGACGTTCGACATTGGACCCTCCCCGTTGCTTCTATTTCTCTTCGTTGATTTTGTTTCCCGTCACGTGAGTGTTTCATCCCGAAGCGCGGTCGTAATCCATTCAGCCAGTGCGAGTCTCCGAAGACATAGATTCCATTGTATTATGCGCTGTTTGCCCCACTCTGATAGCATCTCTGGTTTTTCCTTGATTAGATTGCTGTCTGTTGGGGGCTTCTTCCCCCTCGCCGTTCGGCCTGTCATTTTCTTTCCTGCTGTGAGCTTGTCTGCGCGGATCGACTCTGACCTTGAATCCGTTAAAGCCAGGATAAGCGAGGTGAAAGAGAACAGGAGAATCATTTGGCAAGGAGTCGGTTCGGGTCGCCAGTTGAGGCTACTCGCGTGTAGTTACGCACAGAAGTCTCGTCTCATTCGTCACATGTGCACCTGTCTTGGATCTCTTCGAGATTCCGCTCCGTCGACGCTCCTGTTTTATGCATGTGTCTGACAGGGACTGCGTAGGTTTCCAAGCTTGTCTGAGTCGTGATAACGCGAGGAGATACATGCCGCAGGGGGAGAACTTTTGTCCCCTCGAGGAACGAGTCGGACGTCGGAAATAATGCGAATACAGATAGCTGGCCTTGCCTGGGAAGGACGGATGCAGTGCATTATGTCGTGTCTGTCGTAGGCCGCACGCTTTATATGGTGGTTGATTCATTCATTCAGTGCACCTCGCGTCATCATGTTCGTGTCTGTGAAGGCATCGAGCGGTGTTTCGTTCCCGGATCGCTCGGTGCATCGGTCGTGATAGACGGATTGGAATATCTCGCATAAAGGTCAAAGGAGCGGAGATGCAGTGGAAGATGGGGGAAGGGAGGTCGGTATCGTGGGGGTTGGGAAGCGAGGAAGAAGACGAGGCAGACGCAGGCTTGAGACTCGGTTTGGGCCTGGGCTTGGACCCAGCTGGAACTCCGACATGGCCCACTAGTGTAGGGATGAGTCAACCCGACGATGTGCCTCTCTCATCCTCGGCCTCTTCCTCGTCCGCCTCTTCCTCTTTGGCGTCCGATCCCCCCTCGCCCGCCGTGTCGGACAAGGACGAGGACGTCCAGCCCCCGTTGACGCGTTCGGTCGACGCGGTTTCTCGTCGTGTGATCCTCCTTCCCGAGTCTCGCGGTCGACCTTCGTGCCCGTCTCGATTGGGATTCTTGGAGTCTCTCATTCCCCGTCGTCTTTCATCCCCCGAATGCCTGGTCGTCGCCGGCACCGCTCTCTCTCTTCCGGCTATACAAGTCATCGCTTCCGATCCCATCGAGGTTATTTTCTTCCCAGTCCCATCATTTCTTGGGCATGTCCCGGTCAATCCCTCTAAAAAAAAAAATGTTCTGCTCCGCAGTAATACGCAGTTGTTGTCGCACTCATTTTGAGGAAAGGGCATGTTGCCAGAATGATTACATTCGCGAGGTTCATCATCCTCCAGGTACACCAGCGTTAACAGAACGTCTCTCGAGATTAGATGATAACTGTGTAGGCGAATCTGAAGCGTGATTAAGCATCTTGACATCCGCCTTCCAAATTGACTATCGGAAATGACTCGAACTCTGACCATTTCTTCTATTGTCCTAGAAATAATCCACGATTGTGTTAATCCTAGATGAAAACCATTGTGATGGTTCTGAACGATTACGGTATTTTGGCGTGGGTGAATCATTCGCATGATTGCACCAAAGTGGTTCAGGAAATTCATTGAGGTATGACACTGGCAGAATAAAAGACCCCCGATAGCATGACTCAGACGTGAGTCAGACTTAAAGGTCGCCTCCATTTGCCTGGAATGTTTGGGGAGGATCATTAGAAATAAATCTAGGCGGAGACGTAGAGTAGGAAAGTTTTGAAGGTACAAGGGATTTCTCAAAAGTTCTGCCAGTAGCCCACAAGTCGTCATCGGGTCATCGGAGGCGGCCGCAAAGTGCTGGACCAGTTCGGGAAACTTATTTTTTATTTAAAAAAAGATTTTTCACCTGGTTGGATCCATCGCATGAAAAAATGCATTGAAATCGTTGGTACAAGTTATGGGCTTATCGGATATTGGCCAAATTTGGATCTTGCCGCACCTTCCTTTTCGGTGGGGAGTATGTGGAAAAGGTGTGAAATAGTTGCCTGTGGCAATAAAGATCAGAATTTAATCATGGAACACTAGATTTTTTTATTTCTTTGGGGCTACTGGCAGAACTTTTGAGAAATCCCTCGTATTTATTCCATGTTGGGAATGGATTGGCATTTCTATCGAGCTCGAATTCTGGGAAATATGGGATACGGAGAAAGAAATATAATCACATGAGCAGATTTTAAATTGGCTTTCAACTTTTTATCGAGGGAATCAATGGGATGCCCTTGACATTCAATGCGAGGTTAGCTTAATTGAGAGCTATTGTCCCAATTCCGGAGAAAAATATGGATTTCAGGCTTCGCTGTCGGAGCCAGACGAGCCCTAACCCACAGAAGAGCTCGGTTCTGCAGCGTAAATGGGGTAACACGAAGTCGCCCATGTGACAAGGAACGGTAAGGGTAAAAAAAGAAAAAGGGGCACAGATGTTTGGGGAATACCTTTCCCCGTCTATATCTGCCAGATGTCGTCTGTCCCGCCCTTTGTTTACCTAGCTCTTGGCACTGACTGTATGGAAAGTGGATGAAAGAAGAGACACGTTTCGATGTGCTTGTCATAGGAACCGGTGGGATCTCCCCGCCCAGGGGATGGCGGCGGCGGAGACAGGGAAAAAGAGGATGGGAAGCCGGCGTACGGCGAGACAGACACGCTTTCGGACCTGGGGACTGGCTCCGGGAAGAAGAGCAACCGGCTCACCCCACCCCCGCCGCCCTCGACTGCGAAAAAGTCGAGGAAGAAGTCCTCGAGCACGTCCAATTTTGAAGTCAACACAGACTACTCTGACTCCACCGAGACGGAGAATGATGAACGTGAGATCTCCATATCTTCTCCCGCCAGCCTTCTCGCGTTTATTGCTTTCTCCAAGAAGAAATTAAGTCAAGAAGATTCGGCGGAATGAGATTGATTGAATTAAGGTGTAATTGCATTCTCGAAACGAAAGCGTAGTTTGTCCACAGAAAGCATATTTCTGTTAAAGGAAGGTGCGGCAAGATCCAAATTTGGCCAATATCCGATAAGCCCATAACTTGTACCAACGATTTCCAGTATTGATACACTAAAGTATTTTAAACCATTTAAAAAAAGTTCAATAACGAAGCGAGGCAGGAGGGACGGAACCATCCGTCTTTGCTTCATCGCCTTAAATACAACGCTTGTTGTCAAGTACTGTATTCCGAATTGGAGAGGAAGAGTGCTTTTTAGCGATATGAAATTCGTCATGATCGCGACACTGAATCCATACTAATGCATGGGAAAAGAAAGGGCCAAAGACACTCAAAATAGTCGAGGGAGCACACAGCTCCTTTTTTGGGCTGCTGTATTTATTTCAGAAATTCTATCATTCTATCTAATTCTATTAAACCATTTTTATTATTGCACATCTAGGACGTTACTGAACAGACCATCTTGCTTTAATTTGCATTTTAAAATGGTATAGTGTTAAACTTGCCATCCACCTCTTGACAATGAGCAGTTTAACATGTGGTGTGGAACAATATTGTTAGAACCAGTAAAATTGCCGTGACATGGGCTGATTTTCGGAAGGGAGGGACTTCAGTACCTTGAAGATGAAAAGGAAATTTTTTCATGGGAAATGTAGTAGGACAGGGGAGTCACCTTGTGGAGAAAAAAACCGCCACCGGCTGTGACAGGGCAAAGTGGCATTGTGCCCCGTCATTGTGTTGCATTAACTGTCACGTTTTCCTATGGGGGCCTCAGTCGAAGCTGGGATTTGACTATCATGATTCTGATTGTGGTGGCCGTGTCTCTCTGCATGATTGCTTGCCTTACTTCGGTGTCCATTTCGGGCACCAAGATGAGAAAGATCATCAGCGAGCCATCACTGGCTGCCTTTGCAGTACGGAAATTCTCCCCATCCTTCTCTTCCCGTCGCAAGAACAAATCCTCCACCTCCATCCGTACTGCAGGGCTGGCTCAGCCTCCATATCCCCCCGTGTCCAAGTGTCCTAGTGAAGCTTCAATTAATGAACATCATGAGGAGTTGAACTGCTCATTGTCACTGGAGGGTATACCAAGTTCTTAATTTCAAAGTGAACGCAAATCATGACTATATTCACAAATGAACATCAGCTTGTCAGGATTTCACGTTTTCAGTTTAATGCTGGTAGTTAACAACTTTAAAATATAATGATCATCAGCATTTGTTTATTCCCAATGGAGCTGCTGCTTGTTTGTGAATACCAGTCTTTTTTAATGAAATGAATGCTTGGAACTATTAGGAACGATTCAAAATAAGTCCAGTGAGAGTGAATTTACAAATTGCTGTTTTGGTATTACAGCTGTGAGTGCTGAGCCTCTCCGTTGTTCATCCAATCATGAAGGGAAAGAGCTTATGAACATTGTTCTGCCTGTCAGTGTGGACACAGCCTTCAATCTCCTCTTCACTGCTTCCAAGTTTAACTTGGATTTCTTGGCCCTCCAGAAAACTTATGGTGAGCTGGAAGTGTTGTGCCACAGCTTGTGAGAATTATCTGGGTATAAAGCAACTAGGAAGTGTTTCATCCAGGCTTTCTCCTTGCATGTGGTGAAAGATTGTTTAAGTTGTTGAGGAATATCAAAGCAAACTTTACATATCTTTAACTGGTATTTGGACAACTGCAAGAACATTGATATTTAAGGGATTTCAGTGCCCTCTTTAAAATGTGTTTCCTGTATTTATTGCAGACATCAACCTTGGCCAGTGGAAAGAAGGCAAGAATAAGGGTGAGAAGACACGCAAGTGTTCTTTCACCATCACTCTCAACAATCCCCTTGGTCCTAAAACTGCACTGTGCACTCAAGAGCAGGTACTTCTGCCCAATAGATCTCATCTTTGTGTTGCAAACAGACTTAGATATTTTTCCACTTGGGTTGCCCCATGAGACAATGAAAGTATTACATTACCATTTTATGATGCAAAGGGCATGGCATTTAGGATGGAATTATTCATAATGCAAATATGTGCTCCTACTGGGTTTTACCCAATATCTAAGCTCTTAGCTTTTGCTTGCTTTTCATATATGCACCATATATTCCTCTTTTTTAATTAAGAGTTTGTGGTTGTTTTGCTGTTGGTATTGGTTGGTGTATTAATAATCTTGAATCTTATTTCCATGAGTGACATTTACCTTCTGAGGAGTGCAAGCATGTATTTGCATGCAGGGGTGTGCAGACTAAAAGAGATGTGAATGTAAACATGTGCTTGGCAGTTTCCTAATGCACTCATATATAAACAGAGTTCAGATTTCTGGAGCAACATATTCCACCTTCTACCACTCTAGATTGTATTCTAAAATGCATTTTTACACAATTGATTTGCTCCTGGGAACATGGAAGTTCTTTGTAAGTTTGTTCCACAAAGGCTGAAGTTCCTAGGATTTATCCTGCTTGGTGGAAACAAGTTCACGCTCAAGAATTGAGGTTACATAGATTCGGGGAATTTAAATCACCTCCATTTTTCTCTCTGTTTGCTGTGATTTTCCATTCTTCCTTTTGGCAATGTCACACGAGATGGCCGACTTGAGGATGGGATAGGGAATGGGATTCACTATAACTGATGCAAACCTGGGACTTTATTTTACAGTATGATATTTTTCTCATCTTTATTGGAGCCTATTTTCTTACCACACCCTGTGACCCTCATCTCTTCAGTGTCATCTTTAAAACAATCACCTATATATGTTCCGATGATGACAAGCTTATCTTGTAGAATTGGACCAAAATGATTTTTCTCAGTATGTATGAGTAAATTTATTTTTTACATGTAACCAATTAGCTAGGCATGGGGCAGTTCTTTGTTCTAGGAAAGAGGGAGAAATGATAGAGAGCAAAATAAGGAGAGGAAAGAAAGATGGGGATGCCTGATATATTAGGTAGTATTATGGGTGAGATCATGATAGCTTTAGGCTTTGAGTTCAGGAGTGTTTAGATGGTATCAAAAGGTATCCCTGATGACTTAGTAGATGACTCCTGGTATGAGATAAGGGCATTTCAGGTTGCTAATTGCAGGGTTTCCTAAGCTGCGTTTGTTGAGGGGAGGCAACATTAACCCTTTCATGGCATATGATCATTATAAGGATCATATGTTTTGAGACTGCTCTTGTGGTTACCATTGAAAAAGACCTGTTTTATATGGTACTGCTTAATAGCTCTTGAAAAGGGCTCTTCGGTGATGCATTATTTATTCATATAGGTTGTAGTTCAGGGAAGCTGGATCAAAAAGAAAAGTTGTGACCTGATATGTTTGATTTTTTGTGAAATGGAATTTTGGAGAAAAAAGTAAGAATTTTTTTCCTTTTTTTTTTGGAAAAGGGAAAAATATGCCTGCATGCTGCAAGAATGGATGAATAAAATTGGGACAAAGGCCAAATTTTAGGGCACCTCATGTGTGAACAATGGCCTATTATTCAATGTTTTTGGTTAATGATTTTTGTAATTAAAAAATTCAGTTTTTGAATATACACTCAATGTCCACAAAATTAGAGATACCTCACTAGTAGCGTGTTGGACCACCTTTGGCCCTCAGTGTCTTCACTCATTAGCATCATTTCCTTAACCCTTTCATGGATGAATTAAGAAAACGAATAACTAGGAAACTTTTTCACTGCTTTTTCTATTGAACAGGCCTAGCTAAAG